ATGTTTATTCAGAGAAAGTACGTTTTTGTGTCTGATTTCGTAACTTAATTAATAGTTAGCACTAATTAATTAGCATATTTGAGGTCACCCCCGGGAACCATTAAGATTGACACTTAGATCGTGAAACTCCGATCATTAGAACAAAAGTTATTCAGGGTGATATCTTTTTTTTTTTTTGCTGACTGTACATTTTGTTGGAAAAGTGTGAATTGTTTTACAAAAGGAATGTAGTTTTAATTTTTCTTAGTCTTACTGTTTCAACAAAAACAACACAATCGTTTATTATATATAATTTTCATAAAGTATTATAATAAAGTATTAAGTATTACGTATAAAATATAAGTTTACAATTATTTTCTTAACTATCATATTTTATGGGCAAGTAGAAATCATATGCATTTTACTAGTTAAAAAATTTTCGGTGAAAGTATTTTAGTAAAATTTAATATCCTTTACATAAAGGGCAATATGAAATGTAGCAAAATGTTTTGATAGAAGGTGTAGTTAATTTTTATATCTTTTATCTAGCAATGTTTATGGATAATCTCTTTTAACAGATACAGAAAAAAAAATTTCTTTATTTTTTTCTATACAACAGTATGTTGATGATTTGTTGATACAATAAGTGATAATAAGAAAAATATCTTATTTCTCATTTGAAGGCTAAATTAAGAAATGATATTGGTAGTTGTTTTTATAACAAAAATAAACTGAGTATTTTTTTATCTTTAGGATGTTACTATAGTACTGATAGATATATTAAACTAAAAGATGTGGCTGGTTCGGAGAGAAAGTTTGAGGTTACATTGAACCTTAAAAGTTATCTAGAACTACGTAAAACTTGGCTTGCCTTAGGTAAGTTTATTTTTACATTATTCTTCAGAAGTATATCACAGTTCACTTTTTATCTCACATGTTGAGGCAACTTTTCGTTTTCTAATTATAATTTTTTTTCTGTAGGGCACTAAAATTCATTATTATTGATTTCTTAATGATCATGATTAAAGTTATGAAATCTCTCTCTGAAGCAAAAATTCCTAATTAATGTTCTGTAAAGCTCTAAAATGCAAAAAAGAAAAATAAATGTGGAGAAATAGTCTTTGAAAACCAATTTTTTATTCTTGAAGAAGACCACAAATTTCTGGTGTAACAGTGCTAAAAAGTCCAGAAAGGAAAATTCCCACCACTTAACTTTGATGAACTTTTTATAGTTTAAATACTTGTTTTTGCATTTTTCATCTTGTAATGCTGCTAGTAGTCAATTCTCAATTCTAAATATTTTATTCCATTCACAGTAATTGTTATAGCTTTTTTGATATATTTTGTTAAATTTTACTTTATCTGTGTCTTTTCCAATTTTGGCTCACATGTTACTTTATAAATGTTACTTTTCGTAATAATTTTAGATATTTTTGAAAGCCTCATTGTTGAGATTTTTTTTTTAATTTTGGAACTTAAGTTACGAGTATTATTTAAAGAATTAAAATGAAAAATTTCTATTTAGTTTTAAAATTTAAGTAAAGTTTATTTCACTCTTTTTTAGAAAAGTATCCGGATATCATGGATATCAAAACGCTATTGAATATTTTGATGTTTTTGGAATGGGATTACAGCAGACATTTAATTAAAATGAATTGTAGAATTTTTATTGTATTTATTGAATGCAAAAACAAGAGAATTTGTTTTTTCTGTTATTTCTTTTTTTCTTTCATACTATTAATATTAGAAATTTATTAATCACAATTTAGTGCTTATGATTTGTCGCTTTTATTTTTAATATTATAAAATGTAGATGATTATGTATTAATATTTTCTTAATGTTTCATTTTTCCTATAGCATTTTAACTTATATTTTCCCCATCCTTACACACAAATTTTATCTTGCAGCTATTATTTGTGGAGTAATATTTGGTATTTTATTTTTGGTTGTTGTATTTCTAAGAAAGAGAATCTACATAGCAATTGCTCTAATTGTACAATCTAGCAAGTATGTATAAATTATGTTTGAAAATTTTTTTACTTTTAATTCTTTAAAGCATTTCATATTTTTCTAAAGATGTTTTTTCATTATGCAAAATATCTTTCACATTATGAAACAACACTTCACATATTTATATGTTCACAGGGTTCCACAGACCTCATATTTTTCTGTTATTCTTTTTTATTTGGATACCCTTATCTTTTATTTTAATTCTTATTATTTGGGTATTTATAATGCTAATAATACCCGTTTAGATTATTTTTCAGCATATTCTCGTGTCCATTGTCAGAAATTCTATCATCAATATCAAAGTTATTTTGTTTTGAGAAGAAAAATTATAATTCTGATGCCAATGCTGCAGACAGTGGAACTCAGCAGAAAATGCTTTAAACTGCTCATTACAGGATTATATATCAGTAGATGAAAATGTTGAAGCTTGTGATGTTGCATGTTTAAGAAATGATTGCAAAAGCTGAAATGCAAAGTCATGTCAATGAAGATAAGGACACAGAACCACGCCAAGATTTTCGGAAGGTCCCAAAGCCTTTGAAGAAATAAGGAACTTTCTGTAATCACTCGAACTAACAAATAATGAAGAGCAATTTATTACAAACGTCGAAAATTTATTGATTGCAATTAAAAGAGAAGAGCGTGTGCAATAATAATGTGTATTCAGATTACTTTTAATGTATGAGTTACTTTTAATGTATGAATAAGTATGTGTATTCAGATTACTTTTCATAAGTAATATTTACTTTTACAGATTACTTTTTATGAGTAGTAGTAAATATTTTTAAATCACGGGCATACTTATTTTTAATTAAAAAAAAATTTTACAATTGATTTCAAAGTTCAATTAACTTTTCATGCATTTTCAAGTCATTATTTGATATTTTATGTTATTTTCTCATACCTATCACTCACAACAGATGGTACCTTGAGCAACATTAAATTAAGGTTCTACTGTATTTAAAAGATGTATATGTCAATGAATTGTTAAAAACTGCTACTGAAGAAATTGATTCATTTAACAAATCAAAATTCATTAAACAGAAAGAAATTAATGATTCCATTGAGTTTTGAAAGATGGAAAAAGCTTTAGTATTTTAAGAATTATTTTAAGAATTATTTCAAGGAGGAATGAAGCTGGTACTAAAAAATAACAGAACTTACAAACAAGAAAAAAGTTAGTGATGCTTAACAAAAGTTAAAAACTCTTCAATCTGCTATAAGTGGCTAGAATTCTAAAATAATTTTTTTAAACTGAACAATATAATAAGGAAAGGCTTCCAAATATTCAAATAAACTTCATAAATTGTTAATAATAAAGCAATTATTATTTTGGTTATGTCTTGTTCTAATCTCATTAATCATTTTGACTGTTACTTTTAAGTCATTATTTTGTACGTTTTGAAATAAAAATTAATGAAATTGATAAAGTTTATTGATTTAAGGGAATTTTTTATTTCTGCCTCCCCTATTTAAAAAAAAAAACTCTTTTTTGTCACTGTTATCTGAAAAATTTGGTTGGTGGCTATTTATGCATGTGACCATGAAAGACCAAATTTTGAACAATATCGACTTGTACTAGTGAATGTCAACGTTCACATTATCGCTAATCATTCTATAGTTCATTGTTTAACAAATTTTTTATTTGTTGCAAATAAATAAGTCTTTCCTTTTAAACGTTATCCCATTAGTCAGTTAATTTTTAAATTTTCAATAGATAAGTATATTAAACCTTTGTGGACCAAGCAGGTTAATGATATTGGTTTCTAGAAGAAAATATAAAAAATAAATCATGATTTATAAATTGCCTTCTTTGTCAAAAAAGTTCTTTTAGATGACAATTTTATCTGTACAATTATAAGCATGCGTTATGCTTATTGTTTAAAGGACAAGATGGTGTTTTTCTTTTTCCTTTAAATTAGATTTTAATGTGATGATCACTTGTGGAGCAAGCAAGAATAATATTTTTAAAGTTTTAATCTTTTCTCTTTATTAAAATGCTTACTGTTCTAAGTTTTTTTCCCTCTATATTACTTCATATATTTAAAACTATTTTCTAGGGCTGTTGGCTGTATGTCATCTACATTATTCTTCCCAATATTTCCTTACATTTTGCAGTTTGCGTTCTTTGCATTTTGGATAGCCATAGCCTTGTATCCTTCTAAATGTACTATATTTTGTCCAATTAATATAATATAAATGCTTTATTTAATTAAATGCACATGTTTTATCTTTTAATTTCTTTGCTGTTAAGGAAAGGAATCTACTGTTTTGGTAATAAAATAATTAAAACCTAACCATTTAAAAAAAATTTTTTACCGAAACAAAGTTTTCTATAGATTTGCTTGAATAATACTGTTACTTACCTTTAAGCCTTAACCATCATTAGATACATTGCATCATCAGGAAAAGCTTCATTCGTTATTGCTGATGCTCCAGCAGGTTCATCTCACGCAAATGGTTCTCACTGCAATCCAAAGGTTTTAATTATTTACAATTTTTCATAGATGATATTAATTATTTTTTAATGCATTGACTTAAATCTTTTTATATTGCTTACATGAAAATGTTGAGGTATTGATAGAACTTAAGTCACTTGTCAAACTTTTATTCACCACTTTACATAATAATTCGTGTGGCCCAAGCAAAGACAGACGTCATAATGTAAGGTTCATGTATCCTGATTGTACAATAATATTATACATATTTTATCATTAATAAGTATTGGACTAACTTTAACAAAATTTTGGAAAAACAGTTGTATTATTGATGATAATGTAACACGTTTTCATTTTATATTAATACACATGCAGATACTATTCAAAATGAAGCATGCCCATTACAAGCAGTCATTTCTATTAAATAACATATGTTCAAAAAATTATTACATTTCTAAACAGTAAAATAAATTGCCAAGGAGAACTTTGAAACTTTTTCAACCTTAAAAAGTAGGATTAATAAGTTTACTGTACCTTTTAAAAAGAAGTTTACCAAGATTTCGAATACATCTTTTGAAATCTACCAAATACATTTATTGTATCTTTCCCATTTCCTTATGAAAGTGCAATGTCCTCTTTTTGTCATTGATAAGCAAGAAAGAGTTGACTAACTTTTTAACCATCTAGGATAAAAATGTAGAAAGTTTTGTCTTTTTTTCCCCTTCATTCAAAAGGAATTCAAGTTATTTTATATTTAATGCATCCTAAGAAATAATAGTTTAAATCATATTTTAGAAAGTTTGTTGTTGAGAATAATTATTAAAAGAATTTTTTTGTTTTTGAGGTGATTTTTCATAGGAATGCGAAGAAAAAAATTTGTTCTACATATTAGAATAAATTATTAATCTCAGATGTTTTAAGGGACATTAAAATAGCATTACGGTAATGAAATCATAGCTAGATGTATTCTTTTAAGTTTTCTGATAAGAATTAAATTTTAATGAGAATTAAATTTTAATGAGTAAAAGTATTGATGAGTTCTGTCTTTTTTGGGTTACAGCAAGTGTAGTATTTTGCATCCTTAATAAGAAATTTTTAAACAAGAACATGATTTTGGCAGTTATAAGCTTTTCAATTCAGTATTTTTCCCCTTTCTTTCCTTTTACTTTTAATGAAATAATGTTGAGATTGATTTGTAAAATTAAACTAGAAGTCAATTATGTGTTAAGTTGTATGTATTTAATTTAACTCACAATTTTGTGTTGATTATTCGCAGCAATGCAATTTTCTTTAAGATCTATAAACATTTTCACTTCATTTGTTAAGAACTAATGTATACACCATTTTGGGTATACATTTGATTAATATATCTTGTGAATCATCGTATTACAAAATGTTACAAAAGTGTTTTTTCAGAACAACTAAAAGAATGTTGCATAATGTTTTTTTCTAGAAATATAATTCCACCGGAGAGGGAATTAAATGTTTATTCCAGTCTTATGGCTTGAGAGATAATCTTTTTAGTGCACATGTTTATAACCTATTTGGTTTATTCTGGAGTCAATTTTTTGTTATTGGTCTTGGACAACTTTCCCTTGCTGGAGCTTTTGCATCCTATTATTGGACACATAACAAAAAAGATGTTCCATTTTTTGCTGTTGGAACAAGCTTGGGTCGTACCTGCAGGCAAGTAGTTTTCAATTTTTAAAGTTTTGATCTTACTAATTGCTCTTAAAAATTTAGCTGGGGAATAGTTTTACGCATGAATATATGCAAAACCATATAGGTTCCACTAATAGCTATCTTTCTTTCTTCCATTTATTATTTTTTTTATTAAAATCAGTTTATATAACCATTTGATGTTATATTTTCTATATTTACCTTTATATATTCCTTTACTTTGAATAACTAATGTTTTAGTTTGGCTTAGTAAAGCTGTATTTTATATTTTAGTCCAATTTAATTTTTAAACCGAATCTTAAAAATCATATTTAATTCAATTCAATGTGATATATTGTTTAAAAGCATTTTTGGAGGGGGGTGAGAAGGGTGCAAATGATATATTTTTTCTATGTTTATCGACACTAATATTTTTTTTTGCGCTTTTAATTGTTAATATTTAAAAACGTTATTTTATGTAACAAATTTTAATTATCTCTTGATGTTAACATAAAGTCTATAACATACCAGTATTTCTTTAGAAATTTGAAAAAAATATTGAAAACCAAAGCATCTAATGGTTTTTATTTATAATATATATAGTGTTTATATATATGAATATGCCTTTTAGTCATAAAATTGAAAAATAATGATTTTAAGGTGATGATATTTCATTTACTTCTTGAAAATTTTGATGTCATATCAAATTTTTAGTTATTTTTGAATTGTTCTATAACTGTTGATTCTTATATTTTGATCATTAGCTGGCTTGAAAAAACTCCCAAATCATGCATACTTCAAGATTTTAGTAATATGCTATATTTGTTAAATTATGTCTTTGCTGCATTTTTTTTCTAAAATAGTAATTTAATTTTTTCTTTAAAAAAGTTTCTAAAATAGTAATAATTTCTATTTGCATAATTTTTAAAACTATGATTTCTTGCTATGCTTTTTAATTTGTTTGTCCTATACGATGAAACATTTTGAATTAAGAAATTTCAAACCGATGTTAGATAGGCTTATTATTTGTGATAGATATTATTAAACTTGTCATATCTTTCATTTTTACCTAGATACCATCTGGGATCGGTTGCTTTTGGGTCTCTTTTAATTGCTTGTGTGCGAATGATTCGTGTCATGCTGGAGTATATTGATCGAAAATGTAAAAAATATGATAATGCCTTCACTAAATGTATCATTTGGTAAGTTTTTGCTCGAAAGTACTATAACAAATGTAATTTTGATTTTCATTATATGAATTAAATTTTTTTCTGTAGGTGCATGAAATGCTGTTTTTATTGTTTGGAGAAGTTTTTGAGATTTATCAGCAAAAATGCTTACATAATGGTAAATATAAATACTTTAAACTGTTTAAAATTCATAATTTATGTTTACTGAATTTTGAACAAATCACACTCCCACTAAGGAAGAATATTTATTTTCTTGGTACGAAAATCATAATGTTAAATAATTATAAATCTTGCTATAGGTCTGTATACATCAGAAAATTAGAACGAAAACTAAATTAAATGATTAATTTTTTAATCAATTCATTACATCATGCTAGAAATTTTAGCTTTCATCCGCATCACTTGGTTGTAAGAATTTTTTTCTTATCAAAATTATTAATGTCTATTTATTTAATTTGAATTTTTTTAACATTAGTTACTATAAAGTTAATTTATAATTGGATTTAAATTAGATTAATTTAAAAAAGTAAAACAAATGTATTGATTTAAATAAAAAAAGGTGAAAATATTTGTTTTATTTTGCATATTTTTCAACTACTAATATTTTTTATGCTGTAATTGGTTTTGTCGTGCATTGTGATTGTGTGTGGATGATTTTCTGTTCAAATCTTCAGAATATATTTTAATTATTAGTTATAAATATAAACTATTTTTCAGATTGCTGTGTATGGTAAAAATTTTTGCAGATCAGCTAGAAAGGCATTTATGCTACTCATGAGGAATGTCTTAAGGTATGTTTTATTCAATTAAAACTGATTTTAAAACAATTCAATTATTATAAAATAAATGCCTTATATTATGATACTTAAAATGTTTCATAAATTTTTTTAGGGTCATAGTAATTGATAAATTGACAGACTTTTTGCTCTTCTTGGGAAAATTGGTAGTTGTTGTTACAGTTGGTAAATTAATTTTTATTATTTATTGATATAATATAACATACTATTTTTTTTAAATAATTAATGTATTTTCGTTTCATTTATATAAGTATGTATGACCTACAGATAATCTTTCATGTCTTTTGACCAGTATTACTTACAGTGGCTTATTAGTCCACTCTTAGACTTTTGATTAAAATTTTACTAATTTTTTTTCATTGTTGCCTTTACTTTTTAATAAAATCTTTCCTGAATTTTTGCCTGTTGAAAATACTGAAATTTACTTTTTTAATAAAAAGATGTATATTCATTTTTTGTTAAAAGATATCTATTTTTACTAAAAGGCAATAATTGTGAATATAAGAGATCTTTGATAAGTATGTAATTTTAATTGTTAGAGCATTTTTTTTAAAGTGTTGCAACAGATCTCATGTGATTGTGTTGTAAAAATTTTAAAAAAAATTTCTATTATTTCTGTTTTAAATTTTTTTATTATTTGTGTTTAATCTTTGTTTTCCTTTTAGGTGTGCTATCATTTTATTATTTTACCACATATTCTGGCAGTACCAAAGATCAACTGAATTATAAGATTACACCACCAATTGTAAGTACTTTATCTTAAACACCCTGCTATTGCATTTAAATATCAATTATTTTACTGTATAATATACAGGGTGCTTTCTGAAAGTAATGCACATGATTTTATTGTGACGCGACTATTGATCGCAGCACACTCAGATTGGTCAAAAAATGTCGTGGGGGATTTTTCCTTCCAAACAAGCCTGGTCTCAGGTGGCTTTGAGCAGTAGGAGCGGTAGGATGTGTCTTCGCGCGAGTCACAACGTGATGGAGTGTTCGTTCGCTGGAGCAGCGGTACGCGATAAAGTTTTGTGTGTGACTTGGGAAGAATGCGACGGAAACTCATCACATGCTGCAAGACGACTTTAAGGAGGAATGCATTTTGAGATCTAAGTGTGGAAGGTGGCACAAGGCCTCCAAGGAGAGTTGGGAGAAGGTCACCGACGAGCCTTGTTCTGGATGCCTGACCCGATGAAAACGTCGAGCATGTGCGTGAAGTTTTGAAGTCAGACAGTCGGTAAAGTATTCAGGTAATCGCTAACACCCTAAACTTGTCAAAATGTGTGGACTTTGTCAAAATGTGTGCGCCGTGTGACTTTTTTTTGCTCCCCCGACTGAATAGAGAACTGAAGAAAAAGCACCGGGAAGCGGTGGAGAACATCCGAGCTCATGTTACAAGGTTCCTGAGAGGCATTCCTGACGAGGAGTTCCAGGGTACCTTCCAAACGTGGCAGAATCGTCTCTGCAAGTGTATTGATGCACAAGGGAACTATTTTGAAGAATTTTAACCATTTGTACCCATAGGATCAATAAATCTATTTTTCCCAGAAAATGCGCATTACTTTCAGAACGCACCCTATAAATAAAAGCTAAATGTATGAGGCCATATCTGGATAGTACCCTTTTGTTCGATCATAATTATAGTGGTAGTATTACAGTTTTGTGCATGAGCATATGTGTTATTGTTGGATTGTTTGATGCTATTACAACCAGATTGTGTTTTGTTTACATGTGTTTATTAGGGTTTAAAAAATACAGTTTTTGAAAGCAAAGGAAATTTAGCCAGCTGAAATTCATTGTCGACTTGTAGAGAATTATGAAGAAAATATAATGATGAAATGGAGAGAAAGTGGATTAAAAAATTCAATAAGGATTTGGTTGTAAAAGTCAGTGCAAAAAGTTTTGAAAATAGGCACGATGAGATTGCGAATTTGCAATAAGTTTTCTTTAATCTCAAAAACTGAATGTGATTGTCACAAATAGCTTTAATTTTTGCAAATTGTGTTACCATAGGGTTTAAAAAATGCTTGTGAATATCCATAAAACAAAGCAAGTTGGCAGTGCTTTGACATTTTTTATCTAATGCACTGAAGAGGGCAGTGATTTCCTAAACAAGGTTATGACCCTTGATAAAACTCAGGTTTGTTATATCACTCCAGAATCAAAACTACTGCTAATGGAGTGAAGGAACTCACTGCTTCTACAAAAAAAGAAAATGTTATAAGCTCACAAAATCATGTGCACTGTATTTTGGAACAGTATTCTGCCTGTTTTCTTTCTTAGAGGTGAAATCATCTATATAGTATCGAGATATAGTGTGCAATTCAAAAACAAACAAAATGACTGGGAATGCTCAGTTAAGACATTGTGTGTTTCATAGCAAGGCTCATTCCCGTTTTTCTGATGTTACTCAAAACCTTATTCAACAATTCCTTTAGGAGCAGTTTGATCAGTACCGATGACACCTTTATACTTGTTCTGGATTTTAAAAAGTAATTTCAAAGGAAGACGCTCCAACAATTGTGATCACTTTCGTGATTCTGCCTATTATTTATTTACTGAAAGAGTGGATAATTACTGTAATTTAAATATCTAATGAATTAAATATAATGTATAAGTCAAATTACTTATATTTATAAACAATAGATTAATGACAATAAATAAAATAAAATTTATTAAATATTCATTTTATCTAAGACTGATTGCTAGCGAAATAGAGACTTAAATAATAAACAAATGTGTGTTTCTTGAAATGGGCTGTCCAGTGTATTTTTTTATAAGGAGGTGAACATCTTTACCATGTACTACGATGACTTGATCCCAAGCTGTGCTCTCTCTCTTTATGATAATTATGGAGAACTCTTTTCAAGTTCTAGTGACTTAAAATTTTAATTTCTAATTTTTCTTAAGCTTGTAAGTTTTACTTTAATATATTACAAACTATGTATAAAAATGCTATGTTTTAATGAAAAGTCTCTTAGTTGTCTAATAAGATTGTCATTTTCAGCACTTATTAAGAAAATAACTTTCTATTTCTTTGCATAGGTTATTACAGTTGGAGCTTATATTATTGCTTCTGCTTTCTTCAGTGTCTATGGAATGGCTGTAGATACTTTATTTTTATGTTTCTGTAAGTAAATTCAAATCTTTTAATTTTTGTATCTTAAAATATTTACATTTTATTATTAAGCATATACTTTTTGATACTGAGTAACAATGAAGCAGGCGTAAAGATGATTGTTTGCTATTTTTGCTTAATTATATGCACTTTGCAGTTACTTGATGTATTTGTGCTATTAAATAAGCTTATATTAATTTTTAATAGTTACTGCAAATTTAAATGTGTGCTATAAAAATACATAATGATGGTATTTTAAGTGATTTTCTTGTGATTGATTAACTTTCTCTCATTTTATAAAGTGCTTAACTAATAAATTCTGGAGAATTCATCTAAAATTAAACCTACTGCTTATACAGTACAGAATCATTTGTCCTGTATCCAGAAACCTGGAAAAAAAATTTGGTCTGTTTTCCTGCCATTTTAAGCTTGGAACAATTGAGGAAAAACCAGAAATTTTACTCATCCTTGAAGTTAAGTAGAGGAAGGGGGTGTTATTTTTCTCCCTATTTGTCATTAGAAAACTTTAGTACTTCTTCTGTAACCTTGAAGATCTTTAGGTTAAGAGGGGGCAGGGAAAGAAACAAGTTTTTTATTTTCACCTCTTTGTCCGAAAGAATTGGTTGTTTTCTTAAAGCTTCCATCAATCAAACTTAAAGGAGAGCATGCTGATTTCGTTTTCTCTTTGATTTGCAAGGGGGAAATGCATTGCACACACATATTAGTGAACAGAAAGTGAAAGAGATATAAAAACAAAAATATATCCCTATTCTTACTAAGAAAAAGTAAAATGTAAATACGAAATATTAATTGAAATGCGAAAATGATTAAAATACAGCTTTTTTTTTAATTCAATAATAAAGTAAGAATATAAGCTGAATTTTATCATTTAAAAAATAATCAGAAGAATTTAGTAAATTATAGCTATTATAATTATAACTATAAGCATAATAGGCTGTGTTAGTGGGGGAAAATATAATAAAACCCTCAAGCTTTGTCTGGACAAATACTACTAAAATTCATAATTTATTGAAATAAAATGAATAATATTTTATTATTGGTATATTTTAAGTGATTCCAAAGAGAGTTGTAAAACAACTGTTTAAATCTGAATTTAAAAAAAAAAGAAAAGGAAAATTTCATATTTTTTTCTGGCTTTATTGTTAGGTGCATTCTCTATAATATTTTCAATCCCATTGCTCTTAATCATTTATAGAGTGTTGTTGATTGGATGTCTGAGCTGAGGAACTTTTGCTAAGAATGGCAAGGTTTTTTTAAAAACAGTTTTCGGAACTGTTAACAAATTTTGTGATTAGATGTTGCTGCTAACTAAGAAAAGTCATAAAACATTGTTTTAAAAATTACCACTATTTCCTGAAACAATGTGGCGTATTCTGGAGGGGGGGAAATCTATAAGTACGCATACAAATATTTTTAGTTGAATGTTGGACTCACATCAGCATTCCATCTGCTGGCAGTCTTTGGTAACTAATTTTAAAACCTAGTGATAGAAATACACTGGTAACCCCTGCAGAACATAGTAAATTGTACTTTTCTTTTTTTAGTTGATTGTTCTAATTTTGGAAATTTTGGAACACCTGGCAAATTATGTTTAGCAATATTTATAACAAAATTATTTTAATGGAAGATTGTGAAAGGAAAGAAGGATCTTCGGAAGGACATGTCTAGAGATTTAATGAGGCTGTTGCACAAAGCAAAAAATAAAAAAATATTAACTACTCTTGAATGTGTCAAAAATGTTGAGAATTTTTTTTTATTTATATTTGTTAATCCAAATTTTTTAATCAATATTTGTTAATTTTTTTTAGCCTGAATTTTCACATAATCTTTGATATATTTTTTAAGCTAACATAAGTTTTTTATATAATTAAAAAAAATCTTGGATTTTTCATTTAATCTATAATTTTTGCGACATTTGAAGTTTCAAAGCTATGATTTCTCTTTTTTCTAAAAATTTTCTACTTGTATACTAAAGAATAAAAATAGCTATTTGCTGAAAAAATCGATAGTGTCTGCATTTAAAATCTAATTTAACAAATGTGCATGCAAAAACAAACTATTGGTTTAATCATGATTAAAAACTTAATTTTAATAAAAATTTATTAATATAATTTTTTTTATTTTAAAATGCATTGTTGAAATGTGTGAAATATATTGTACTAGACTGTACTAGATTTTGACTGCTTCTCCTAGTTTAATCATAAGCTTTTTTTTTTTTTGTATATTTAAGAAAATGTCTTAAAAATGTGTTTGGAAAACAAACCCTCATCTAAATAGATTTTTTACAGTTTATTGCTGGCATGAGTATTTAGATAAGTATTGCAGCTAAATGATGAAGTAATATGCCTCATTTATTGTTCTCAGTGTGAAGCTTTAATTTTTTTAAATGTTCTACTTTTTTTATTCAGAACTTTTTATTTTTAATTAAGTAAATATGTTACAAATCATCTTAAAAGCATTTAATAGTATAATTAATATAATTCAAATCTAACACTATTTTACTTTTTAAGTCCATTTAATATGAATCATAAATGGAAAATATTCTGTTAATTTATATTTTTTAATGTTTAGTTTTTGTATTTAAATTGGGAAAAAGTTCCCAATGTATATTATTTCATAAAATTTGCTAGTATTTTTTTCTTTTTACGTTGTCAGCTATGATTCAGTATCTTTGTCTGCTTTATGATGAAATATTATCTTAATAAGGCAGATTATAGTGTTTATGACACTATTACTATAACTATTATGATAACTATTTTAGTGGAGGACTGTGAAAGAAATGATGGATCTCCAGAAAAGCCGTACTACATGTCCAAAGATTTAATGAAGCTTTTGCATAAGAAAAACAAATTTCGAGAGCTTCAATCTCCTACCTCATCCAAATAAGTGATTAAAAATATTACTAATGCCTTTGTCAAAGATTTTCAGCCAAGTTTTCTTTTTCCTCTTCATCTTTGATGTGTCTTCCTCTGCTAGCAGAACTGTTTTTTTATATTAAAATATTTTGAAGTATCATTTTCAGTTTCTTAGTGTGATCTATATTTGCTCATCACGTATGTACCTGCAGAACTAGGATTGGCAAGTTTTTGACTGTTTTAACCAGAATATAACTTGTGTCAAAAATCTCTCTTAAATTTCTATCTTTAAAAACTGTTTAAAATCTCAGGTATAATAATTTTGCAACTGTATAAGTATTTTAAATTTATATTTGTAACGAAATCAATGTAAACTATATATTCAGTTTAAAGCATTTGAGAGTTTATGCTGTAAATTTGCTTATCAATTTTCACATGTCTTTCCCCACCCTAGATTTTTTGATTGCATAAATAAATTCTGGACAGTTGAAACAGTTTTTTATGTCAAAAAGCCAACCTTGTTCTGAACTGCATACTTTTTCTTCCATTTTTCGATTTGTATTTTAATTTTATTTTAAACATTGTTTCTGTGACCTAAACCATCTCAATTTTTTCCTCATATGCACAGTGCAGTAACTTAAATTTTGTTTTTGTGTGATACAAATACTTTGTGCTAATTTTTATCATTTTTCTCATTTTGTTTCGATTAATTATCTTACGCACTCAACATTTTTTGAATCTGACCCATAATGCTTAGTTATGGCTTTACAAAGAGCATGTGATAAACAGTATTAATAAATGTGTTCAGTTGTTTTTTGAAATTCGTTTATATGTTTCATTTTAAATAGTAGAAATTGTTTAAACTATCATAATGTTAATTTTTTTTAAGTATTTTATTTATTTATGTAGGGAAGACTTTTTAATAAGTTTTTATAATTTTTTTTGTACCCAATTAAGTTTTTATATTTAAAAACTCATTGTAAAATCTGTGTTATGCCATTATTTCTGAACAAAAATTATTTTAAATGTAGAATTTAAACTTTACTATGATATTTTTATTCAGATGTTTCCATATGAGTAGTATATCTCTATGTGATCATTAAATAGAAATTATAACTGTTTCAGAAAATACTTTGACCCATTTGTCTGTTAAAGATACTTATTTATCATTTTCAGTAGAGTTAGGTTGTTCTAAGATGTTTGGGTGACATCATTTTTTTAAAATTTGCACAAAATATACTTATTTTTTTAAATCTTATTTCTAAATCAGCACTTAATAACATATTCAAATTATGTTTTACCCAAGGATGCCAACTTTTATCGAATTTTAGAAATTTTTCAAAAATTTCAGATGCATTCAATTTTTTGGTACATATTTTTTTTTCATTTCTGTTTGTGGAGAACATGTTTATTTTAGTAATCTCTTGATTTTGTATTTGAATGATACATATTTTACTAATAAAATTATTAGTTTATTTAATTCAAAGCAATCTTTATATATCAAGAGCTTGAAAATTTATTTTATGTTTGTATAACTTTAAAAAATATCAATTAAATGTTTTTTTTTAAATTTCAAATTTGCTTTTTATTATTGATTTTGAAAGTAGTATTATAAATTATCCTTGTTGCTGCAGAAAAATAACTCCATTATTAAAGAAAATTATCGCATATTGGCATCCTTAAATACAAAATATAAAATTTATTGCTTTTTCTTAAACTTAAAAGCTAATATATTTTATTTTTGAACTTTTCCTTAAACTACATTGTTTAGTAATGCCAAACGAGCAAAATTGTTACATCTGACAGCGATCAATTCTAATAACTAAAATGTATAAAACAGTTTTTTTCCCTTAAAATAAAATTTTAATGTATGCTCCTTTAATAGCAATATTTTATTTAGGTTTATTTAATAAATTTCAGTAAAATGAAAATATTATTAAATGCATTTTAATTCCTTTTAACTTGCTTGCTTTTGATTTTTTTTGTGATAAGATAGTGATTTCAAAATTTGAATTAAAACTAAAATACTAGTATTAAATTTTATATCTGAAAGTTTTTTGTAAATATCATTGTACTGTGCATCTTAAGAATTCTCAATTTACTATATTTATAAAATATATAAATGAGGCCTTAATTTTTATAAAATATGAATATATATATTTTATGCAAACTAGTTAGCAGCACATTTTTCATTGATGAAATTAGATTTCCATTGGAATCAGGTTGCTTTTTGATTTCACTTGTGACAAATATAGCTCCAAATGTTTCTACTTCTTAATTATATATTTTTTATAAAAGGGCATTCATCATCCCAATTTATATATCATAAAATTGTTTCGCTTTTGAATATAGTTACCTCAAAATATCCTAACTAAAAGAGCAATTGTTTTTTGTTAATGTTTTTTCAGCACCTAAGCTTTTTATATAAATTTAAAAAATGAATTATATTTTATAAATAGTCCAGTATTTTGTGATTAACTTTGCAAATTAATTAAAAAAATTTCATAAATAGCAAGACATAATTTTTAAACTGTGTATGTAATATTTTTTACCCCTTTTTTAAAAAACTAAAAATATGGGGGAAAATCTATTTAAAACCATATTATGCATGGTTATTATAAATTATCGATGGAATTGAATTATACAAAAATCTTTCTGTTTTAAAGTAATTCAATGAAGATGTTCTTTCCTATTTTGCATTTTTTTAATATTTAATTCAAGTTTGAAGGATAAATACTGGTTTTATTATTGGTGCTTAAATACATGGGTTGTGTTAGTTTATGATTACATTTATCAATCCAGAGAAAATGTTTATATCACTTTTATGTAATTTTGATACTGTATTTATGTTGGGAGAATTTTTAATGTTAGATTTTTGTTAAAAGTTTATATAATTTTTCTGTGAATTTCAGATTTATTTATATGCATATGTTTTTATTTTTCCTATGAATATTTTATTTCTTCTAAAGCTATTACTGTAAACATTGAATTTGTGTACATTGAAATGAAAGAAACATTGTCCTAATGCAGGGTGGCCACACAACAGAATAATCAGAAGAAACCGAAATGCTTAGGAAATTTTATCTATCTAAAAAAATCAGGGAAATGTCAGAGAATTTAACTAAAACGCCTAGAGAAAGGAATAAATTTGTTTGAGGTACTGAAATGTTCAAAAATATTTTTGAAAAAAAATTGGTCTTATAATAATTAAATTTTTTTTAAAATATATTTTCAACCCGAAATGTTCAAATAGTGTTTTGTTATATATTTTATTTTTGAGAATAAGGTTTCTCTGAAAAATAGTTCTCCGGTTAAAAAACTAGGGAAATTTAATAAAATTAGTGTTCAAAAATCAGGGAAATTTTTTATCTGAGTATTGGTGGCGACTCTGTATTATTGGATTGTAAGATATTCCTGTTGTTTACTTTTTAAATATTGGGCTGTTGATATTTTGCTTGCTAAATTTTAACATATTTACTATTCATGTGACACTTGTTAAATCAAAATTCGTAGAAAATGTCTATGTATTTTCACTTTAGCTCTTTTAATAAATGTTCATCAAAGTAATAAAGAATTATTTCATTTAACACATTATAATTTAAGTCTTACATTTCATGAATTTGTTACTTAATTTAAGTTCCAAGCCAGATTGGAGTCCCCTCCTAGCTCTATCCCCAATAAAAACATACAACAAAAAATATTTTTAATTAAAATAATCCAAATCTTTCAAAACAAAGCTCACCAGCTATTGGTTTTTTACGAATTACGTGAGGAAGATGTACCTATCGTTTGACAAGAACACACCACAATGGCAGCACCACTCGTTCATGAGGCCGCTTCCTCAATTTAGACAGATCTGAATTTTCTCCAGATTCCTGTACCCCATGATACTGCTCGGTGACTAAGCTCGGAACTTTCGATTTTACGAGCACGTACTCGGGGGTTGAGAATTGATCCGCGACCGTAGTCTGATTCGCCAACCACTAGGCTACAACGAACCCTGGAACAGCGAATAAAACATGGGAAACAGCAGTTTTTTTGCCTCCTCAAGCTGATACATAAACTTACTAAAACTACTGCATTGCATTCAGTTATGTTAGATTTAAAAAAGAGGTATATTAAAGATTATTTCTTTGACATTCACAGCCACACTGCACCGAAAAAATGCAAGCTAGAATTAATAATTTACTACTAGTTAAATACAGTAATCAACTTGTGTTTCCAATCAATCAAATTTTTTAAAAAAGAAATCTAGTTGTTTCACCCAGAAATTAATAAGCCTTTAATTCTGATTTATATTGAAAAATAAAATATGTTTTCGCATAGGAAAGGCTTTCCTTTGCCAAACCAAAAAAACAAGAGTCTACAATTCGCGATAGCAACGCTCGAATTAGCCTTCTGGGGAAAAGGCCAGTTTAATTTCTTGACCCTCCTCTTTTCAGGTGTATAGGAATGTACTATGATATTTTAATACTTTTCATATTTACTTGTCAAAAGTATTTTTTAAAATTTCCAGGATATTTTCTTTTAGATCTATGTTTAATGTAATTTTTAGTTTCTTAACTTAAAAGTTTTTTATTTATTTGAAAATCAAGACAGAAACTAACGTACTTTCTTCTATGATCTTTATTGGCTATCAAAATGGGTTGCAGGTGGTGTAAAGCAGAACTCTCTACTTATGGCAACACTTCGCATGCTTTCCCCATTAGCGTGTGGAGAGTCATAGAGGACGGAAGTACGTTAGTTTCTCTCTTGATTTTCATATAGATTAAAATCTTTTAAGTTGGAAAACTATATGGAACTGAAAACTACATTCAACTTACTTCTAAAGAAAAGCATCTCGGAAATAAAAAATATTTTTATTGAATGTAAATGACATATATTAAGAAAAGAGAAAATATCGTAGTACATTCCTATACAACTGAAAAGAGGAGAAAAAGGGGCAAAGGCATGAAACCGATCTCTCCCCAGATGGCGTATTCGAGAGTTGCGATCGCCAATCGTCACGCAGTGGACTGATCGCAAAGACGCGATTCCCAGGTGAACATGACTGTGATCATGACAGCGGAAGGGTGACCACTTTGATTTGCATGATTAGGGACTGAGGGTGCATGGCCCTCTTTAAACTGTTCTTCCGTAATTTGCTCGATTTCGCACGCAGATCGTCGGACTACCGAAGCAGGGAATCCATCTCCTCTGAAGAGTATCAAAATTGCTATGATATGTCTTCGGATCATCCTCAGGGATGTTTCCCAGACCATCGCCAATTGTCCATTGTATAGATCGAGTGCGACGTAAATAAAGTACCTACCTACCGATCGCCAATCATGAAACCAAAAAGCATTTGCCTTACGCCTTGGTCCCGCAGTGGACTGATCGTTAAGACACCGTTCCCAGCAGATCACCGAAGTCAAGCATCACTGGCTACGGTCAGTGTGCGGGTGGGTGACGAATTGGATCAGTCTGCGTAGGGACCGAGGGTGTGCGGTATTGGTCCTCGTTAAACTGTTCTACCGTAAAGTGCTCGACTTCGCGCGCAGGTCGTCGGGCTACCGAAGCGGGGGTGCCACCCCCTCCGCAGAGGATCAAAATTGTGATGACATGTCTTCGGATCATCTTCCGGGATTTTTCCCGGACCGTCGCCAATAGCCCATTGTGCAGCTCCAGTGCGACGTGAATTAACAACAACAGCAACAACAACGTCTTGAGCGCCATCAATATTTATAGAAAATACTAGATAAAGCTACAAGCTAAATTTTAGGCTGAGAGTTTTAGTTAAGAGTTAGTTATAAAGCGTACAAATGTAGGCAGCTTCAACCCTGACAAATATAAATTAATCGCGATTGTAAATAGATGCTTGAGTCCATTAATATTACTTCTTAAACTTATATCTTACTTTATCTTGTTCTATTAAAATCAGAATGGAAAAAGAGGAATCCAGTGGGAAAGTTGTGTTTAAATCTAAACGAAAAAATAAATGCTTAAGAACTAAAAGATTATCCGATAGTGAAGACGATAAAGATGATGATATGAGGTAAAGATATATTTTTTACTTAGTATCAGTTTAAATCGCTATAAGAATAAGTTAGTCTTTTTTTAGAAAATGATTATACGAATGAAATGAAGCCTATGAATAAAAAAGTAGGCCTTGTTTCTATTTATGAAAGATATTGTTGTTGAAATCGTTTTTACTAGTTGGTGTAGTGAAGTTAAATGCTTTACGGTATAAACTTTATTAGTAAAAAGTAATTTGTATTTGCTGACTTCTTGAATTTACATTCTTTGAAACCTTGATAATTTTTTTTAAATAGCTATTTTTTTTCTGACTAAAAAATAAATTTCATGCATTTTTTTCTCAAGTATATTGAAGTCTCTCGCAGGGTTGGCAAGGTTTAGGACGAAATAGATTAATCCATGGTTTAAACCGTCCTGTCCAAAACCCTTTTACTCAAATTATGTCAAAATTTTGTCCGAACAATATTTTAAAGGTAAAATAAACATATAACTTATAAGATATTGATAAGTAAATCTACTAGAGAATATTTAATTTTAAAAGCATAATGTTTTATTAATATTGTTCAATTCTTCAATTTAAACATTAAACAGAGGAAGATTAATCAGTAATCAAGTTCAGTTGGTCCTCTTCACATTACTAATTTAGCTGCTGCATTCACACCAAGATAATTTTTAGTAAAATATTTCAGACTGGATGTTTCTGGTTATGAGATCCCCACAAGCTGATATAAAGCCTTAAATGCTCTCAATTTCTCTTCCCATCTTAAAATTCCTTTCTGCGACTATATTTAACACAACTGAGTTAAAAAAGAGAACAGAAATTTAGTCATTGAGGTGTTCATATAAATGAAACATTTATTTAGACAATCGTCAGATGATCAATTGTGAATATAGCAATTCCATAAAGCCTTGTGCCTTAGAGGTATGCATCGGTACTATTTTTTTCTGTACATAGTTGGAAGTTTACTTACAAGGAGGTATTACCACATTTTCTATCACATGATAGGGAGGTGTTAGGGGGTGTGAACCTTTATAATCAAACCGCCTGAGGAAGTGACAGACTAAAAGCTCCTATTCAGTATCATATAACTAACTTAAGTGTCTGTGTAAATAGGAAAAACATACTCATTTCTCTGTACTTGCATCTAGAATTATGTATAAATATATATCAAATGTTTTCGTATATTTTTTTTTGTATTGAAAAACTTATTTTTTAAAGTTAACTATTTACTATGATATTTATTTATTGTAAATTATTTTATTTTTTATATATCATTGTAGCTATTCTGATAACAATTTACGGTGTTAAGCTTTGTTATTAGGGTACCCTTCTCATAAATGGTCTACTTTCGTAAGCAGACAATTTTATTACTCTCAAGAGTGTCCATTTAACAAATGTTTCACTGTATGCTGAAAAATTTAGTAAGCATCTTTTATGCTATGAGGCTCCTTATAAAATTCTCAAATTGTGAATTATCTAAAGCAGTGGCTTCTACCAAGTAGGTACTAAACATAGCAATTTTCGCGCAATAAAATCTCACTAAGAGTTTTATTAATTTTTTTAATTTCAAATCTCAAATTTGTTTCTGAATCCTTTAAAAAATTTCCTGTTTCAAAATAAAACAACATAAGTGGTTATTGTGGAAAAAAGCTTAACACTTTATCATTCATCCATTTATATTGTGAATTACACTTTAAGAGACCAATGAATTTGATTCCAATTTTTAATATGTGAAGAATGATTTTTTATACGTAAATTAATATGTAAAGAGCATTTCAATGAAAAAATTATATGAGTTAGGAAGTTTTTTTTGTTGCTTCGGAAGTTTTTTTTGTTGCAAACCTTTACTTGACTATCCCAATATGTTTGGTGTATTCTATTATTATAAATCTTGATCCCAATGCATCCCATTATGATGTTTTTTATTTATATATATTTTTTTGTCTATTATTTTATAGTTTCCTGACTTCAGGAACACCATTACTTTTTGTCCAAATTTATTTTAAAAAACAAAGTTTAATTATTTGTATCTTTCAGTTCAGTTTTAGAAGATGCCAAAGAAATAAGAAAACTGCGAAAACGACCAAATGGTGTTAGGTAAGCTCTTATTTCATTGAAATTGGGTGGTGGAGTCGAAATTTTTTTTTCTTTTCTGGTAAATACTTTTCTAAGTTTTATGTATTGCAAAGACTCTTTATCATTGATAAGACATGCAGTTATTTAACATTGATTTGTAAAATGTAGTGAAAATATTTGTAACATCAGTAACTGAAGATTAGTAGTATGGCTAAATCTGTTTCCCAAATTTTTCAATAACTCGAAAAAAGAGATTCCTACGAATTTCCTATGCTTTTAATTTTAACAAAATATGTGGCTTGTTTTAGAATTTTTTTAAAATTATTTTTTCTAAATTTGAATTTTTTATAAGTAAATTAAATAAATTCCTTAGTTAAAATTCCTTTGAAAAAAGAATTTCCTACAAATTTCTTATGCTTTTAATATGAATAAAGCAACTTGTTTTTTTTTTCTTCTTTAAAATTTGAATTTTTCACAAATAACCTAATAAATAATAAATACCTTAATCAAAAACATATTCTAAAACTGAAATTTAAAAAAAAAATGGAAAAGCCATTTAAAACTAGATCGGGAAAACCCACCATATACTGTAAAATGAAAGGATATAATAACTGAAAACTACACAATGAAAAGTTCATTATTATTGTTATGTTTTAGAGGAAAGTTAAAAATTCTTTTTTACTACTTCTCTTTTCTTTTTTGAGTTAGTTGCAAAGCATTTGCAGTGACCACATATCCTTTCTATTGTCTTTTTATTCTTCAAGGTTATTGTAGAGGTGACGGGGCAATAACCAAATAAGTGATGAAGACATGAACAGTGTATGATTTTAAATTCTTTCAATGCTTGTTGAAATGTTCTATGTTCATCCTGGTAGGATTTGAAGAAGAATTTCTTGTCATTTTTAATTACTGTAAAATATAGGTGATAGAAACAACTTATGATTGAATATGAATACCCATGGTGCTTTGCTTTTTAGCTATTTAGTACATCTCCAGAAAAAGTTAAAAATCATTTGAAACCATCATTATGAGAAGGTGAGATCTTCAGCGAATAATCAGTTCAAAATGGTTAATTATTTAATCAAGATTGAATTAGATTAATATTTGAGAAGCAAATTATCAATGTTGGAGAAACAAAAATTGTTTGAGAGTTTGAAATTAAGTTTTTAAAAGTAAAGTAGAAAAGTTCAATGATGTCGGGAGAGGAAGGAAACTTAAAACTGGTAAAATTAATGTGAAGGAGTATTAAATGATGTGGATTGGGCTAAGTAGAAATTAAAATCTTACCATATATAGACATTTAATTAAAGAAAAAGCTGACTGTCTTGCAATTCTACCTAGAAATAACAAAGGGCTGGGCTCCTTGAAAAGGGCACTTTGAGTTTTGAAACAGCAATCGCTTAACACTGTAAAAATGAAATTATTATTATATATTATTAGTAAAAATTAATAAAACTGTATTAATAAAAATTCAGTGTTTTTGAGAGATGGTGGCTTTTTTTTTTCTTTCAAAAAAAGACAAAAAGGGCACATTTATTGAGATCAAAGGGCAAGAAGACTGCCCTTCTAAAAACGCTTAGGAAGAACACTGGTGTATATATTATTTATATAAAAAAGAATTTTTTAAAAAATTTTTTGATTACATGTGATTTTTGAGGGTTTTAATTTTTAGTATTTGGAATTATTTCTTCTCTCACTCTACAAAAATAAAGTATCAAGGTTGGACTTTATATAGACTTTTCTAATAATTTATTAATTTTGCTCAGTGTTTTCCCTTTCTCTATTGTAGATTACATGTACTTTTTGACAACATACATTTTTGGCATTTCAACTCTTTTTGATTTTCCTTTCAAAAAACATTTCAAATCTTTCTGTTCTCTTTTCAAGTTTAAGATATCAAGGTTTGACTGCATATGGAGATTTTTAAGTGTTTATTCATTTATTCAGTTTTTTATGCTTTTTAAAGAAATATCTCTTCTATAGTCTCAAGAGACAATAGAATAATTTTTTTTTAAATTGGAAACAGTTTCATAATTAGAAAACTGTTTGTGTTTTCCTCTGTGAAAATCTATACATTTTTGTTAAAATTCATAGTATTTCTAAATTTTAAAGAATTTATAATTTAATCAACACAATTTTTTTAAATTTCAGTTTGAAATAAAGGTACACATGAATAGCTTTAAGCTTTTTTTTATAACCCGAAGTATTTTGTTTGTTGCTTGAGCAAAAATTAAAATGAAAATTGCTAAACTTTGTTGTGATAAGCAATCTATTATCGAAACCTATATCATAATAATATAAGAATATATATCATAATTAAACTGTAAACATGTTTTTTTTAACATTATAAACAATAAAACAGTTTTTTAACAGTATTTTTTTTTAAATACAATGTATACTTTTAAAGGTTTTTATCTTGTCACTTATTGTTATAATTATTACGTTTAGTGTTATTGGACTAGCACTTGGTAAGAAGTTAACTACTGAAGAAGAATTAATTGTAGTAAGTATGAGTTTTATACTAAACATTTTCTCAGGTATTTGTTCTAGAATGGTTTAAGAAAGACGTCTAAAATATGCTACTTATTATTAATTTTTCGATGAATTCTGACTGTAAACTCTCAAAATTGGAAGATATCTGCTATCTGGATGCACTAATTTAGTGAAAAAAAAAAATATTTCAAAGTTTAGTCCTATTTTGTTTAGGGTTTTACTATATGTCTGTGAAGCAAATTTTGTAAATCTAAATGTTTTGCACACAATTATAAAATGCATATTTCTTAAAGATTTTTTGATATAAAAAATTATTTTTTGACATTTGCTGTTGTTGTTTTCGTGTCCATGGATCTTCAGATAACATCAAAGGTCTGGACTATTGTGGCCGCCAGCTTTTGTGCCTCTTGACTGTAGAGAACAGCTCTTAGATTGTCCTCAATTGGTACCCATCCCAATTTCAAAACGTGTGGTGAGTGCGGGGCACTCGAAGGTGTGTTTTGGTGCCAACATGACATCCGGGCAGTTTCTGTAGGAAACGTATACCCTGGTCTTGTCCAGGAGAATTTTCATCCGTCTGAAATCATTGGTTCTAAGTCTTGCTATTACCGATGTCAAGGACATTTATTGTAATATATTGATTGAAAAAACTTTCGATTTTTCGATTCTTTGGTATAAATTTTTTTTTTATTTCAAATTTTAAGAAAGTAATTTCATGATAATATCAGGATTTCATGATAATTTCATTAATGTAATTTCATGATTCTCATGAATTATATTTCTTCTAATATTTTTGAACAAAAAGTTTTGAATGGAACAATTAATAAATACTACTAAAAATAGGACATATAGTTAGCATTACTTTGCAGAGAACAAAATTTTAATAGTTAATCAAATGTATTGCTACTCATTATTGTATTAAATATATTGATTACCTAAACGAGTTTTATTACATCCAACAGTCTCATTTTAGAGTTTTAGATTATTAGCTATTTGATTGTTTAGTTTTAATAATGTTTTATTACTTATAAAATACTCTTGCTTTAAATTATTAATTTCATTGAAATGCAGTTGAATGCATTATAAAGCTGTCTTGTTGCATATTAGTAGTTAGAATAATCGATCCCAAAATATGCCTACAATTTCTTTCTTCACTTTTTTTTCTGTTCAATTATCAGAAGTTATCAACATTAATTTGATTGAATACAAATGCCACAAGTGTGACAGTGTTTAATGCCACAAATTTTAAATATATTGAATTATTTTTCCAACATTGTTTATAGACACTAAAGCTAATATTGATTGCTAATTTCATTTTTTTATACCCAATACTTTTGTTCCAGTTCTTCAACTGAATTTTTTTAAAAATTGTATTATCTTAGCTTATAAATTTGTACTACAATAATATTAAACTTATGTTCTAAATGTTACCTATAACTACTTATTGATTAGATTGGTTTGTTATGTTATTGATAGTGCATTGTTTAATTTTTTTCTTCTTAATTTTAGAGTGATCCTTTTAAATTAAAAACTGGTGGTTTTATTGATATGAAAGCATTAAAAGGAAAAGGGAAGTAAGTAGATGCTTTTCCCCATTTTAGTATTTTTAAGAATTTTTTTTTAGCTAAAATCAAATTTGCAATTTGTCGTAGTAAATAAAGTTATAAAATACTATGGATAGACTAAGATATATGTTTGTTTAATAAAGTAGAATAGTGCACCTTATTTTCTACTGATGAAAATTTCACAGAGATAGTTTCCAATAATATATAAATCGTTTTAATATTTTATAATATAATCAGTAATAAATCATTTTATATTTGTGCCACAAAAATATTTGTGGTGCAATAGTTTATTTTCTTATCTTAATTATAACATTAAGAACAGAATACACATTCACGTTTGCTTAAAGGTCCTAGTTCAGCTTTGCGTTGTTAAAAATGTTCTTAAAAAGATACCTTTTTCTTGCTTTTGCTTTTTAAAAAATACAAAAAATGAGTTAATTTATTTATTTTTTATTCAAAATTTTTTTAAGAAAATTTTTATTTCCAACTTAGTTGTTTGACATTTAACTTTCTAATTCAAAGTTTTATGACACTGTTTTTTCTACAGTGTTTGAAAAGTTAGTTTTTTGTAAAACAATACCAAAAAAAAAAAAAACATATTGGCAGTGCTATTTAATCATCTATTTAGTTGATGACTAAATATCTCTTTAATTTATATTTACATGGCTGCCATAGGAGACTAAAGAGGCGACTAAAACGACTATTTTAAAGCAATAGCAATTATGGCGACTATTTTAGTAGAAATATGTGTAAAAACAACTAATTTGCAATGACTTGCCTAAAATCGGCTACTTTTTTAAGCCAATTAGCGACTAAAATGAAGAAGAGCTTCATGAGTTTCCTCCTTCCCCCACTTTTTTTTGCCGCTCTTTCGTTTTATCTTAACTTTATTATTTCTCACTGTTTGATGTCGAAAGCATGACAGGCATATTTAACCAATCAGACTGGTGGAATTGGTATTCGCACTACGTGAATACTCCTCCTGCTTCAGAAAGCTAATGTAATATCTTTGAGGATTATGTTATTTCCCCTCTTTTAATTTGAATGAAGTAGCAAAATTAGAAAAATTGTCTTTAATTACTCAAAATGTGTTGTTAATTTTTTTAGAGCTATTTGGAATAGAAAAAAAGGTATATGGTGATATTCGTTTTGTCGAGTTGTGATCGTAATTTTTTTGATAAGCATTAAAATTTGGAAATGTGTCAGTTATGAAAAATAAACAAAATAAAACGGAATTAAATTGCAATATTTCTTTCTTTTTTTTTTTTTTAAATATCTAAACTAAGCAGCTGCAAATTAGAACCGAGAAAGGAAATTCAAGTTTCATATTCAACTGTTCTGTAACAGATAAAAATAAAACTCCCTGTTTTTATGCGTAGTGTGAAAGAATATATTGTTTGCAAATCCACAAATAAATGTACATTTTTTATAAAATATGAGTATCTAACTGCATGTTATTTGAACTTTATGCTATTACAGAACAAATAATTAAAATTATATTAGAAGAGGATATGATGTTAGCAACTATTTTATATATCTTGGAGACTTTTTTTCATATATGATGCAACTAAAGCAACTATTTTTCTTGTTTTCATCCAGTGGCAGCCCTGTATTTATAACTTTTTTTATGTTATTGACTTTCTTGTTACAAATTTTAAATAATGATTTAATGATTCTGTAATGATTTTTTTTTAAAAAGCAATATTTATTTATATTTTAGATCTGGTGTGGAAGAATTGGATGCAGTTCATTTGGGTAGTGTCTTTTCTGCAGAGACTAACCGAAGAGATGAGGATGCTGACATGTAAGTATTCAGTGTGGGTAGATTTCTATACAATGTGACTCAGTTTATTTTAAAAAATATATATTTTAGCTAAAAATAATTTGACGCAAATTTTATTTTTAAATTCATACAATTACGATTTTGCATTAATTTTATTTTAATATTTTCATTTTTTTTTTGTTTTTTTTTTGCTCTAGAAGTGTTTATAATTATTAATGCAGTTTCTTCTACAAATTCTTGAAAATTCTTTACTGCTACTTTTGTCATTTACAAATTTATCTTTTATGCATTTTGTTACTTAGATTTTTTATTATAACTTTTATTATCACATTAAAAATCACCACAATTTTAAGACTAATAGTTATAACTTTTACTTAAAAATGTTAAATGTCAAAAGAAAATAAATTGTTTTTGATCAAATCTATATTTATATGTAGATTTCTTGCCAGTATTGTGACAATTGTCACCAAATGCTCTATAAATGTCGCTAAAATAATACACATGGGCCACAAATTTGTCGCCTTGAAATATGTTTGGAATTTACAAAATAATAGCGAAAAATAGTTTTTTCGCACCAAATTCCAAGCATTTAAATAAGTTTGTTGTACTAATTTTATTGTTTTATTTGCGGTATGAAATTGAAATACATGTTATTTAAATGGAATAACTAAAAGTGCCTGGTACAAAGAAATTTTTCAAGTTAAATTTTGAAATTTCAAATTTACATGTGTTGTGCTTTGTATTCATGCATTTACAGTTTAATTGTTCATCAGTAAAATATTTTTTGCTCTTTTAGAATTGACTATATTTAAAATTTTATAATTTTTAGCTAATTAGTTTTTATTAAATTGTTTTTAATTTTATAAATACTTTACTAATTTCTATTCCAATGCATTGTCAAAAGTTTAAATATTTTTTTCTTTTCTTTTCAAAACCATGAAATTTTTTAACTATGATGTATCTAACAAAAATGATTATTGTAAGTGATTACCTAACCTTAGTAGGTTTAAACAAGCTTCAAATTACAAAAGAATCGCTTTCGAAGGAAGGGGATATGTTGCTCTCTTTGAATCCATATGATGTCAAATAGTAAACTAGGTGTTCGTAAAAATCAGGCACAGACTTTATATATCAAACTTTTTTAAATAATTTTCTGAATAATAAAAAGTAAAATTCCTAGTTCCAAACTCAAAAAACTTTTCAGTATTATCTTATGCTAGCTGTCATTTTGAATTAATTATTTGAATTATTTATTTATTTGTATTTAATTGAATCATGTATTTTAATTCTTGATACTAAGAAGATACTATTATTGGCATTTTATTACTCCATATTGAAAAATTTTATGAGCAAAAATCATTTAGTTTGTTTAGAAATCAATATATATTTATTTTATTTATTTATTTGCTATTGTTTGTAGGATGAAATATATTGATGAGGAATTGAATAAAAGAAAAGGAGTTTCTAGCACTCCTGCATTGGCAAATATAGCATCGTAAGTACTCATATATTTGTTCATATTGATTGTGATTTTTATAATTTCTTAAAATTTACCTCTGTAATGATTTTGCTTTTTGAGGACCTAGTAATTTTATTAAAAATTTCAGCAGCATTGTGTATTTATAAAAACAATTTTTCATTCAAAATTTTTGTGGTAAAATAATAATAAAATAAGTTTGTTACTTTTTAGAAATGCAATATTTTAACTTATTGAATATTTTTAAAAAAAAACCTTTGTTAGCAAAATAGTAATAGGAGCTTTTAGCAATGCACTTTTAGGATTTGTTTTGTCTTTTAAAATACACAACTTTAACTGAATATAATTATTTATAATTGAACATTTATTAACTGAAAAATCTAAGCCTCATGGTAACATTATTTTTTAATAATGACTGAATAAATTTTTTGATTTCATTATTTTTAAAACATTTATTGATTAAATGCTCAGAAAGTTTTTAAGTTCTATAACTTAATATAAACTTATCCATATTTTAAATATTAATCTGCCTTTGTGCATGTAAAATGTGTATTATTCAGAAAAAAATAATTTAAAATTTTATTTTAGAAAAATAGCTGAAAATGAAAGGGCTCATGAAAGTGAAGAGAGTGTGGATAGTGATGGGTAATTATCATTGATTTATCAATTAAAAGTTATTTTGCAATAATTTTAATTTTAATTAACTATACATTATAGATATTTATAATTAAAATCTTGTGGGCTCAACCTTTTGCCTGCCAACAGTCACCAACCTCCAAAGACAACAACATGTCCTTTTATGTTTCATTTTGCAAATCAAGCTAGCTTTGCTCGTTATTAAGTTAATCTTGTTTGAGATGTATCATAGTAGTACTTGGCAACAGCAATAATTGCAAAAACTAAATTGAAACAGAAATAATTGTTAGATGACTTCCTGATATTTAATATTAATTTAAAATGTGTAGCTTAAGCATTACTGAGTTATGTTTTTCCTATTTCCAAACAATTCCAACCAGTTATCAATTTTTGCAATGAGTGTTGTAAACATAATTAAATCCCCTGAGCGATAATATAACTTAAATGAAATATTTTCATGCTGTTTCTAAATCTTTGTCAGTTGTTACAGACAAGTTAATTGTCAACATCAATAGAATATTATTTGTGATCGAAATTAGGTTTCATTATTTGAAATATGATGTGTGTTGTTCCTTGTGAAAGAAGCACAAATCGCTATTTCTTGTAAAGATATTCTATAGTTTTTTTTAGGATTTTACTTCGAAGTATATTTTCGTGATCACAATTTTTTTATAGTTATAGTTTAATAATAACTATTAACATAATGCACATAACTAATTATGTGCCAAATAAATTATGTTATATTAATGTTAACATAATTTGTAAGCATCATAAACACACAGAATTACTTCTCACTTCTTTTTGTCAGTACTTTTTGGTTATATTAGATATTATAAGGGTATCGGTTTTATTAGAGTACTTTTCGGTTAGAATAAAAGGAAATTCAATTATTTTATAATTTTATTCAATTTTCTTTTTTTATTTAATTTTTATATATTTAAAGAATAAACAAAATGAAAAAATTTGGTTGGGACTAAATATTTTGGAAACTTTTTGCTTACTCCCGGCCAACCGAAAAGTACCGATATTAATGATATTTGCTTTAGCATTTAATTTACTTAAAATACATCATGGATATTCGAAATATTATAATATGACTAACATATTATTTTCTCTATGAGCTCATTTCCATTACGAAATTTCAGCAATTGAAACATTTTGCAAAACATTTTAGTTTTGACAATATCGACTATGAAATACAACTCAATTCATAGTACCACATAAGAGAGATATGTATGGATCTTCGTATTATCTAAATACTTTATGTGTTTTAAATTTTGTACCTTTTTATTATTGGTCAAAAATGTATTAAGTAGAGGATTTACATGTTTTATGTTAATTTTTGATACCTGATTAAAACGCTTAATAACAAGAATGTTTACATTGTTACGTTTTATTAGAATGTTATGTTTTTTCCAATGTTTAGTCCTCTTAAGGATGTGGATGTCTTATTTGAAGTACCTGAACATTTACGACATTCAACAACAAAGAAATCAGAAGAAATGTTATCGAATCAGATGCTTTCCGGAATTCCTGAAGTAGATTTGGGGATTGAGTTAGTATCTAGGATAAGTCCTAATTATATTTTTCTTTTAAATTTTATTTGCTTTTTATGATAATTTTAAGTAATACTCTAATTTTAATGTGCATCTTGGCAAATGAAAGTAATTTTAAATTATTTTTGATCTAATGATATGATTTGAATTTTTACAAAAAGTTTATGTATTGCACGCAGAGTTAAGATTATTAAATTACTAACTCTTTGTAACAATAGTATTTTAGTAATGAATTTTTAAACAGTTAATTTTAAACTATATGGGTCAAAATTCAATATTGCTTCTTTTGGCTTACCTCTATATTCTTTTTGCAAAAATTATGTTTGTAGTAAGTCTTTTTTTATCAGAAAATATTGGATTTAAGGATATGAAATGCTTTGTATAATGGTATGTTTATTTGTAGATATTGTTCAAATTCTTTACGTTATGTGCTATTTTGTACTTATTTAAGAAGGAAAAAAACCTTTTTAAGTATAGAAATTTTATAACCTTTGACTCTCAACATAAATCTGTGTTTAATAAATGAATATTTAAAAATTAAAATTTTTAATTAATTGCATTAGATTTTTCATTGTACCAATCTGTAATATTTAGATTTTGATTACTTGTATAGTTAGTGTTCTCATTTCTAGTTTCAGTAATTGTCTTAATCTTTGAACATTATTTATACAGTTTAAAAAAAAAAATAAAAATTTAAAAAATTATTTTTGATCAGAATTCACTTTCTTGAATCATTTTCTAAAAAAATAGAAATTCTCCAATTCAACATTTTGTAATTAGTTTTTTAGTAGTCTTATAACTAGCAGATTTTTGTAAAAGTTTGATTACAGCTTTTAAAAAAGTTGAAGTTGAACTATTTAGCCATATGTTCTCAAATATATCTTAAAAGTTTCTAAGAATCTATTTTTGTGAATTTCTATTTCATTTGTTCACATGTTGTTTAAGTGAGTTAAATGGCATGATTGTAACTTCTCTTTCTTATTAAAAAAGCAAAACTTTTTATTAAAATTTATTAAATTTTCTTCTTTGATGTTAAATATACTTATTGCTCTGATTGAATAAAAAATTGCATTTTTATGAAAATAGTTTACAGAAACCTTATCATTCATTTGACATTTTTATTAATAATGTATGAATTTTGTTGTAAAAGTTTCAATCAATGTTTAGTTACCAGTGTTAAATTTTTCATAAACTAATGTAAAAAAATATTGCTACAGTTTAAAAAATAACTCTTGACTTATCCAATTGAAATTGTTTAAGGGAGCGGATTCGAAACATTGAGGCTACTGAAGAAGCTAAACTTCAAGTGTTAAGAGAGAGAATGAAAAAGAAAGAAAAGAGCATGTCTTTTGTTCCCACAAATATGGCCGTGAATTTTGTACAACACAACCGATGTAAGTGCTTGGTTTATATTTGTTTTGTTGGCAATTGTAAACATGTTATTTCTGGCTAATTGTTATTTTTTCTTTAGTCAATGTTGATGAGACGGACAACCCAAAGCATAAAAAAATGAAAAAAGAAGCCACAACTACAGATCGACATAGCCCTCCTAAGATTATTGCTCCATTGGGTTAGTTTCATTAAACAATTTTTATTTGGATTCAATTTCATTCATCGTAATACAATTGCTAAAAATTGAATTTCATTAGTATGGTGAAAATCTAGTTTTTTTTTGTATCACACTGGTTCTGAATGGAGGAATCTCAAATGTTATTTTTTTTAAAAATGCTTTTTGTTTCACAAATTTATTTATTTTATTTTCAGGTTCTACTAAGGGGAAACAAGAAGATGAAGAGAAAGCAACAGATGATTTTCACTTTGAAAAATTTAAGAAGCAATTTAGACGGTTTTAATATTTCATGTAAACAAATGTTCATATGGAAGCGTTGTTTTTATTTCATTTGTTTTTATTTCACGATGGCAGATGTACCAAAAAAAGACTTCTTCGCCACTACAGCCTGGCACAGGTCAAGGCTGTCTCAATAGGTTTTCGCTGTCTTGCCTTGTTAGTCACCATTGCCCTCCATCTTCCAGCATTGATCATTTGGAGATCTATTATAACTCTGTCTGGCCACCTAATGGGTGGTTGGCATCTCTTAGGATCACCAACTTGTTTAAAAAAGTCACTGTCTTATTTGGTTCATTGTAAAAAAAAAAGACTAAATATTTAAAAAAGTTAACTAAAGAAAATAGAAAGGGATAGAAATTTACAGTTTGGTGTATGCTGTTTAGAACGTTAACTAATTTATTGCCAGTAATTTTCAAAATTATCTCCAAACGTTTAGCTGAGAAACTTAACGGTCCGCTGTTAACTGAGAAAAGCGTAGAACAAAGTTTCAAAATAATCACTCATAGCCGAAACGATATGGCATAGTCAGTCTGACTACAAATTTTCAGTTAAAAGAGTCATGCAATAGAAAACATTGTTTTTTTGTTTTTGTTTTTCTGGTCAGCTGCTATATCACACTTTATCTGTTTTGAAGCTGGAAAAGAATATGTTCTTGAATTTCTTTAGTGTTGAAAACTGTACAATTTTGCCTCCTCCTGATTTTTATAATTTTTATTTATTTTTTATTAGTTGGTTTCTGAAACTATTCTTTATTTTTTGGATGCATGATGTAACGTTGATGTATTTATTATTTATATGAGGCATTTCAAAATTTCCTGAAATGTATTCTGAAAGTGCAAATGGAATTATAACTGGAAAGTATGAAAATATTAATTTCATTGCATAGCATATTTTAATAATCATCAGCTGGAAGAAACATATGTATATTAATTCATTTGTGTATTAAATTGTATGTATTCACTTTGTGAAGAAATAAAAGTTATATTGTTGTTTTTAAAGTTCTGCTTTTGTGTTTAAAATGCATATTAACTGTCTTTTATCTATTAAGAAGTTAAATAAAATGTTAGAAATTAATAAATTTATAGAGAATAAAGGGGAAAAAATATTTATGTAAAATAATAACCTTTTTGTATCATAATGTGTTTTATTATTTTTGTACCTAATATCTTGTTGGTTAACTCAGCCAGCTCATTATTATTGGGATCTTATTGTTTTATCGTTACTTTTAAAAATCTTTTTTTGGGTCTTATCATTTATAAGTCCTCAGTAAAAGAGAAGACTGTGCATTTCATGTTGAAGTGTATTATAATTCTTTCACTTTTTTCCATTTTACTTAATATATTTGGAACTTACTGCACAAAACACATTAATTTTACATGTAAGCACAAAACTCATTTATCCTTAAAATAATGGCCTATCGTTTTTTTCTTCTGTTTAGTGCTTAAAATCTTGAAACTTATTCTGATCATATGTGTTACACTGATTTCAAATATGGAACGAGGTTTCTTTTGTCAGTTATACTTTTAGAGAATCTTCTTCCAAGGTCATTGTCACAGGTCATGCAGTCCATTCTATAGCAAGGCTCCTCCATTTTCCCAAATGGATGATCCTCAAATCTTTTTCTACAGAGTCGAAGCAACTGATAGGTAGTCTTTCTCTTTTTTCTAACTTTCATGCGATTAATAAATATGAGCAATGGCACAGTGTGAGGGGGAGGGTCACTATTTGTTTTTAGAAAACTGTTAGTTTACTTTAAGTTTTATAAATACTTTTATGCATAAATATACATGCGCCTAAAAAATAAATATGCTTATAGTATACATAACACTTGAAATAAGCGTTATAAATAAAAGCTTTTTTACAGGGTTTGTGTTGTCAGTTTAAATTAGTTGTTCAAGCCATTGTAGGCTATTACATTTTATGACCATCTCAAGTTGTTCTACAAACGAAAAAAAAAATAGAACTGCTCTTGGATAATTTTAACTGATTTTGGCTATATTTGATATGATTATATCAAATATCAAAATTATTTTTGATTTCAGAATTTTATTATATTTATGCTTCCTGAAACTGCTCAAAAAATTAATTATTAAATTTCAGACTTACTACAAGTCTTTAAAAGTAGAACTAAGTAGAGAAATTATTTGTTTCCCAATCACCTCCCAAAATTGAATGTAGATCAGTTTTACATTTTTTTAAAATCGGGATTGTGAAAATCCTATATTTTTCTACTTAGGTGTGAAATGAATCTGTAAAAGTAGACCTTATACAGTAAAACTATTAATAAATTTAAAATCACACTCTAGATGGAGTCTAAATTGATTCAGTATTCGATAGCACAGCTTAAAGCTGTGTAATTCAAAGCAAAAAGTAATTTGTTTTTAATAATGATCAACAAATATTTTGTAATGTATGGTAAACGAAACTTTTCAACTATGTAATTTTACATAACTTGAACTGAATCAATTCAATAGCTTCTGCAATATAATGCTTTAAAAAATGGCATTTTATTATTATTAAGGATTTTAAGCAATTTTATTTGTGATTTCTTCCAAACTATATTTGATTAATTTTAATCAAATTTTATTATTGTAATTCAACAGATAAGTTTGCATGCCTAATAAATGAAAAGAAAAAAATATATTAGTATGAATTGAATAATAAAAGTTACAAATAAGTAAACAATATTGTGTTAATTAATATATTTTTGGGTTAAAACAAATTTAAAGGCTATATTGTGAGTTCGTGATATGCCAAAGGAAAGACTGATTTAAAAATAACGAATACAGTAACAAATTTGTTGTTAATTAAAATATATATGCCATCTGTTTGCATATAATGTATTGCAGAGAGTTTCATTAAAGTTTCTCAAAGTTTTGCATCATCAATAGAACAATTTATATTAGTAGTGTGTCTTATAAAAAGCCTGACGATTTGAAAAATTATCTAAAAAAATGGAAAAAGATAAAAGTGTATAGTTAGCTGCATTCTGGCTAAGAAACAAAACAGTTTACTTTCCCTTCTTTTTAAAATTCATTGCAAAATTTGCCAACTGATAACGCCGCCGATTGGTAAGTACTATAAACCATTATTTTCAAAATGACTCGTTTATAAAGACGTGATTCAACATGTGGACAAAATTAACATACGTCGTTGCAAATATTTTCTGTAAGAAATGTCCGACAAGCCAGCAAATATGCTTGATTTCGATGTCAATATATGTAAATAATTTTGAAACTTAAAATGAATAAACAATTGGTTTCTTAAGCAGAATGCAGCAAACTAGAATTCTCTCTCCCGTTTCAATTAAATTATCGCTTAGTTTTGAAACATCCGGTCAGAGTATGTAGAATATGATAGTGTATAAAGCATTAGACACATGAATGAAATAAATAAACAAAGGAAAAGAAAGCGAAGCAAAGATATATGAACTAGGCAGTAAATAAAACATCCGTTACTATAATTTTTTAATTTAATAAAAAATACATTGCTGAGAGAAAAATTATTTTTCTAATAACAAAGACATAAATGCCAAAGGAGGACAAATTCTGGGAATAAGAATCTAATTCTAGATTCCTGGGAATAGGAGTCTAAGAATTCTAGATGCAAATTCAAAACTAGAAAGAAGAGAATGAATGTCGCTCTTGAGAACTTTCCGTACGTAGCCCCAGAAATCAGATCCATTTGAACATGTTTAACATCACCAAAAGTTAGTTCGAACTAATCGATTGCTCTTTACAGGTTTTCTGATTTATAAGATTACTAAGTTTAATTTCAGGTTTAAATTTAGAAGATTATTCAACATTAAAAGGTTACTTAAAAGTTTTTTCAAGTCTTGGATTTGGGAACAAATGGTGTAAAAATAAAGATTTTTATTTCTGGAAGCTCTTTGCAGAGTATGATAGTTATATTTTAGTTTAAATCTTATTTTCTTTGATGAAAGTTATGCAGGTTAAGTTTAGATTAAATAAGTGTAATAGTCCTTCGTATTATTTTATTCATTTGCAAATCTCTCAAAATTAAAAAAATCGTAAGCGCCCCGCCATCGCTGTTTTGTGTGCTCAACTTTACGATGCATTTTGCATTGTCGTGCAAACTGTGTACGACTTCGAAGCTCGAAATTACGAAAGTGTATCGAAAAATGCATAAAAAATACGATGAAATAAAGTAAATTAGCATTCAATAATTAGTTTAAGAATTATAAACTATTAAACTTGTAAGTAGAAAATATGTTAAGGATTTATCGACAAATATTGCAGGTTAAAATACTTTATTCTCGTTTTTTTCTTTTTTTGCTTTAAAAAAAACTATTTATTCATTGTGGGAGAAAATATTTTAGTCATCTCTCACAAGATATTAATTTTTTAAGCTCGGGCTTAACTTGTTTTCAATAGTAATAATAAATAAATTAATTAATTAAAAAGAAAAAAATTAATGAGAGAGATTACATGTTACCAGATATAAAACCTAATTAAAAAAAATCAATAACCCACGAGAGAAAAAAATCGTAGCCGATATGAAGTGATATAATCATAAAGTTAATCGTCTTTTACCATTAACAAATAACATTACTCATTTATTACTTTATTGTGCCATGCAATCTATATTTCAAAGTTTAAGTATTATTTTCAAGTAGAGTTAATTATTTTTCAAATCCAGCTATCCTAGAATTTCGTTACAATTAGCATATTAACACGCTGTTTTAACATAAAATTATAATAATCTAATATATATAATTCTCTTACGTGGCTCCCAAATTTTGGCTGTATTTCTTTTCCGCTGGTGGCAACAGTTTTCATTTTTAAAGAAGTACTTTGTACGACTAAATAAGATTCTTTTCACAACACTTAAATATTTACTTTATTTTCTTCATATATACAGAGAACAGTCGGCAAAGAATTCTGTTAGGTTAAAAAACATTTCTCTAAAATAAATAAAAATAAACAACTTAAAAAATAAAAATGCTTTTGCCAGCCATAGGATTTTTTGAAAGTTAACTTAGCAACATTAATCAAAATGACATAGAAGCGCAGATACATGAGAGCTTGACGTAACAAATCCTTCAATTCTATAAGTGCTGTATCACCAAATGTCCAGATTAACAATTGTGTTTTTAAAGAAATTCTATAAAAAGTTTTAAATAAAAAAACTTCTATCCAGCTACTTCTACAACTGCTTGGCTCATTGATTAAAAATATTGTTTTAATTTTACAATACTAACTTTACTTCTACTAACATTATTGCTATGACCCTCTTTCATTACATTTTACAACTTCATGCTAAATTTGAGGACTTTAAGTTGTTTTGTGGTTGAATACTGACATTTAGAAATGTGTACATAAAAAAAAATAATATTTAGAGGTTAAGAGTTGCCTCAGAAAAATTTGAATTGTTGACACTGAATATAATAAAGAAACAATCATTTTTGTGAAAAATTTAATTGTATTGCTGACATCAAAACTAAAAATATTGTGTTTCAACTTAACAATACTATCTCAATTTTACTGACATTTTGAACAATATTAAGGTTTAGAATTGCCTCGGAGAAATTTGAATTGTTAACAATGACTTAAACAAAAAGTCTTATTTTAACTTTTTCTATGACTATACTCATTTTCTTACTCTTTTCTTTGTTTTTTATACATTTTATATTTTTGTGATAAAATAAAAAACTTATAATTAATCTGCTTCTGAACACTGATGAAAACACAAAATGATGTGCTTCATCAACAATCAAAAATATATACATTTATTTTACAAATTCTATATTATTAGGGTGGCGCCCTTCAGAGAATTAAAAATACAAAATTATCTTCATTGAAGCCGATGCTTTACATCCGGCGTTCAGTGGCAGACTACTATTTCATATTGTTTTACAAGACATNTTTCAGGTTTAAATTTAGAAGATTATTCAACATTAAAAGGTTACTTAAAAGTTTTTTCAAGTCTTGGATTTGGGAACAAATGGTGTAAAAATAAAGATTTTTATTTCTGGAAG